TTCCTTCCCTCAGTCAAGGCAAATAAATGTTTTTTGTGCACTCCATGGATTCTCCCGGGGCTGGGKAATGGTTCAGTGTGTATTTGAGATGCAGAATGTATTTAAAACATTTCCTTCCTGGACGTGGCTGCTGCAGGCAGTGAGGAGCTGTGGCAAGGACTGGACACTCTGGCTCCACGTGCTGAGGTTTTGTCACAGGCTGAGGTTTTGTGCTGGAGACAGAGTGGGTGCTCCTGCAAGGCTGCTTGGTTAGGAAAGGTGGGAATATCTTATTTCACCCTTGGATTTACTTTGTTTTCAGTGTAAAGTACAAGTACTGTATATAATTTACCAACACCTGTCTTAACTTCTTAATAAGATGGGAGATGTTCCCTGGCCCCAGCTGGATGTTGCCTTTCTTGTTGCAGGCCCTTCACTATGTGAGTTGTTTAACGTGCTGCAGGGTGGGTTTTGGCTAAACCTGAGCCCTGTGGTGCCCAAAGGCTGCTCTGTGCCCCACAGTGAGATGGGACCACAGTCATTATCAAACCATCAGCCCCTGTTTGCTGCCCTGGAGGCTGCAGTGTTTGCAAAATCCTAATGCAAAAATTGGCTATTCCTAATGCAAAAATGGGGGGAGATTGTTTTAACGGAAACATTTTCTGTTGTGGTTTTTGTTTCCTGAATAAACCAGAAAAGCAGAACGTATGAAATGATCTTCCACAAGCAGGGGCAYGGCCCGTGTGTCTCCCACAGTTTTATGTGGGAATTAGCAAGTGGCTGAAATGGTGCAGAGAGGTTTTCACCAAGGGTGTGCAGGAGGAGGGGAGCCAAAGCTCTGGCTCCAGTTGCATTATTATTGGTTATTTCCAGGGCAGAGCTGGGTCCCCAGTGTCAGCCCTGCATTTCTTGGTGGCTCCTGCCAGGGTGCCATGTGTGGCTCACCCCATCCCAGTGGAGCCCTGGGGTTTGATCCTCTCTGTGCCACTCCTGTGGCTGTTCCCTGTCCCATAAACTGGGATGGGCATGGGGACAAAGGTCTGGGGTGTGGCACAGCTGTGGTACCCACATTGGTGCTGATGTTGGTGCCATCGTTTTGGCTGAGTTGCTGCTGCTGAACAAACCTCCCAGTGAAATCCTGACAGAGCCCTGGTCCCAAATCCCAGCTTGGAAGGTGTCACTGACAGCTCGGGGTCACACCTCCACCACAGCCAGAACACAGGAATTTTCTGTATATAAATATTTAAATACCTGTATTTTTTTGTATGACAGATTTATACAGTGTGTGCCACTATCCGCTGTGAAAAGTCTGCAGCACCTATAAATTATTCTCCTTTAATCACTTGCCATGAGATTGTTTTCTTATCTCTGTTGTGTTACAACCTTCTGCAAATTTGCGTATTTTTGAGTGTTTGCATTGAATTCCACAGCCTTCACTGGGAATTCTGTGCAGAAGACAAATGCCAGGTGAAGTCCTGATGTTTCTTCTGTTGCTAATTCTCTATTACTCCAGAGCTTGCCAAAAAGAATCCAAGAGTAATAAAATAATWGCAAAAATACCAATAATATGGACTTGACCCTAGGCAGTGCTTGGGATAAAATAAAATAAAATACCCTTGGGAGGGTATTTTTTAAACTTATTTCAATGCAGGTATGTGTACATATATCTTGTATTTTATGTTAATACAKTCCTGTAATTTTCTTGCATGACAATTTTACCACGTCTCAGAATATTTAAGTTATAACCAGGTTGTGTTTTTGCAGATAACTGCTGGAAGCCATTGCACATGTGGAGTAATAAATGTGGATTTTTAACCTTGCCAAGGATTTGGTGTAATTTCCAGGGGATTGAGCTGTAGAGGCGTGGAGGCAGCCAAATGCTGGAATTGTGGAACCCAGCCAGAATGTGGGTGGGATGCTCCCAGCAGAGCCCAGTGGGACAAGAGCTGTGGGATCAGTGCCAGGAAATGGCTCAGGAACAGGGATTGGAACAGG